ATAAATTGATTCATTTGCGAACATGAACGCTCCAAACCGGTTCCGTTGCGATTTATTTTGAACCACCTCGCGAGGTGGTCTGAAACGATACAGAACGATTCGCATTCGTAGAATTGTAATCATGAACGCGCGGATGCGAATCGTTCCGGTTCGATACTGTACAAACGGGTACGAGGGGGCCACGGTCGGCCATAGTTCGCGGCACAGTGGCTTGTACTGCGGAAAATTATACTTGAATCGTACAATCTTGACATCGAGTTCTAATTACTGGTCGACTGAGGAAACGGGAGTTCCGATATTGACTTGGGGAAATCAGGAGATCCAGAGGAAACTGGATGGTGTGCACTAGAACCTACCCTGGGCGCGAGGGCGAGTGGTAGCCCAACGGGGGCGTTGGGGCGGCGGACCGTAGGGGGGTTGCGCCAGGTGCGTCCGGGGCACAGCCTATATGGGGAGGACATGAGTCGGGAACGAGCGACCACTCGCCCGGACAGGCGTAAACTCTCCGCCTTACGAGCCGGGTTCCCAGGAAATGTTCAAAGAAATTGTGATATACATATGAAATGCAAGTCAATTCGAGGTGTGAAACCGTTTCCAGTGTGGGTGCAAGTTTTGAATCACGGACGCAAAAATATATTCCGTTTCGATTCGGATCGTGGCCAAACCGGAACACATTTCAATCATGAACGAGGCCTTAGACATTTACCACACTTAATCTAGCTTTCTCAGGAACAACTTTTCAGTAGGAGATTGACAATGCAAGCACTTGCTGGCCAAAGCAAGACTTCTGTGGTGAGTTCCACTTCTAGCATAATGCAGAACCTAAACAGGCTTATCCCTCTGTGGTCAGGTTCCCACCACAACTATGTGCTAACAACCTCCTCTGTCTCAAATAAGTAACCCAGGGTCTGTACATGTACACAGTTACCTGTGCATGTACTAGCCAGTAGTAGTGAGTCATTCTAAGGCCTATTATACAGTGTTAGTATTATATAAATGAAAAACTATGTAAATTTGTTCATACATGTTTCAAAAAGAGAGAAGAGATCCTGTAGTTAGATCCTGTAGATAGAGAAATAGCACACGAATGTAACAATTGCTTCTTCTATTCTTGTACCCAAGTTATTTAACTTAAGTGCATTTGGCCCGTGTGGGGCGTGAACATGCAATAAAGTTCATTGTCATTGTCATTGTCATTATACAGTATTAGAAATACCCATCTGCAGTCTGCTTTTTGCAGAGACATTTTCAAATAAAAGCAGAAGAAAAATTAAGCAACCTGCAATTTTGCAGAATGAAAAAATGAAGCTAAGGATTCAATGGTTTTGTGCTTACTACTGACTAAATAAGTAATTCTGCATGTAAAATGTTTGCAAATACATTTGTATGCAATTTTGTATGTGCCGTGGCTTTAGATCCAGACTTTTAACTATACTTACATAATTTGCAGAAAGTATTTCTAAATTGCAGAACAAAATTTTGACATTCTGCAATGTTGAAGCATACTGAAAAAAGTATTTCTGCCACTCAGAATCAATACAATTACACAATATATGACTTATGCCTTTTCATTACAATATAATCTTAGAAATGATAACTATCTTATAAAGCTGACAAAATGTGGTGGATGCTACTTGATACATCTAACAGTTTTTAAAAAATCTATCCAGTTGCCAATGAGTAACTCACTGTAACTGTGTTCTTGTATGATTCTCATTACCTGGATGTCTAACCTTCATTGACAAAAGCAAAAATGTTTCCGTCAGAAAGGTACAACTACAAGGGACTTCTTATAACCGAGACAGTGAATAATTGGCCGACATACTCAGTGATGCGTGGTGGACATTCTTCATTCGCAAACATGTCACACAAGAAACCCTTTTCAAGTTTTATCTCGCTGGCAAAAACCCTTGCCACAAGCTAAACTTGAGCTCCAGCCAGACTACGCTGAAGGATAACGTCTCAACGTCTCTGAAATATAAATTACAAGATCTACAGATTGGCAAAATAAACAGCGTGAAAGGGGAAGTCTTATCATCACCACAACCGAGTTTTATTCTCTGCATGCCATTGAACTTGAAGACCCACCAGAAAAGACCTGAGTGTGTTCATAATTCTCTCCCTCGTCTTGCACCCAGTAACGTTACATGGCAGAGAAAAGTACCTGTCAGCTCGGCACCAGCAAATATTGATGTACACAGCTGGTAACGCGGCGATAAATGCCGCCGTTTACAGCCGCCTCCTTTGGCTACGTAGATACACTTGAACCTGGCCTCCTTTTTTTACTATCTCGCTCGGGACTTGCACGGCTCCCTTCTGAGATCCGTACAAGACTCGCCTCGATCCAAAAATGGCTGCTGGAGCCTTCCACGGCATGCTGGGATAGCTGTGGACATGGCGTTGGCAAAACATGAGGAGCTGCGCAACTCCTAAAAATCTCCTGTACTGTACTTCCTTAGGATTAGGCGGTTAAGTTGACATGTAGAGCGACTCACTGACTTAACAGGAAGAAGGAAGGGGCATGCCAGTGGCCAGCACGAGACGTGAACTGAACAATGTAATCTTAAAGATTCCATTTCAACTGTGGAGTTCTTGGAGTCATAGTCATGGCACAGATCATGCATGGGCCACGTCTAACTGTGGTAGTCGGCTCAGACAGCCAAAAGACACATCTTAAAAATTACGAGCTAAACGTACGTGACTTTGGCACTAATGCTGTACCTGACAGTGTCACCAGACAACTCAGTTTGTGAAGTCTAAAAAGAACAGGTACGTAGGGACAGGACTGGAATTACTAATTTTCGCGCACCATGTAGGAGAGATCTAGAGAATTGTATAACCACCAGAGGCAAGAATGCCACCCAAGTCCCCTACCGGCAAAACGAGCTCCTTCCTGAAGCAGTATTCGTGAGCCTCGGAAGGCTAGGGCCTGACACACGCATGCGACGGCACCCTTTAGGTTTACCTTGGCCGGAAACCCCGTCCCTGCATCTCACCCGAACCCAGCCAGCAAAAATGGCTTCCACCCGCGCAGCACCCAAACAGCGACCATGAATGGGGAATTTCAATATCAGTTGATCTTTACCAGGCAAGGGGTCGGCTGCAAGCCGGGGTGGACGTGACCTCATTTGCTGCGGGGGGACCCAGTCGGCTTTCACATGGATCTGTTTACTCAAAGCAACACCCATTAACGCAGGGTGTGATACCCCCAGTAGTCTGCAACTGAAAAATATTTCCACCTTTCGTCCGAGAATCTGCTCAAGCCACTGGTTTTGCTGGACATACGAGGAAGCATTTTTTTTAACGCTACTGCATGACCCTAGCCCAACGGAACTTTGCAGGCTGCCCCTATGCATTACCTAGACTAAATGGCTTCCCCAGACAACTGTGCAAAACAATGCAGCAGGTCAGGGAAAGACGTGCACTAGGGCACCAGACAGGCTCCCTGCAAAGTGCCATGTTAAACTTGCACTTGGACAGAACTTGACAGGCCTGTATTTTATTATATGTGAACTATATCATCATGCAGTTTGAGTATGGATCTCAAACATAACATAAAAACAAAAAAAAACAAGATTCTCAACCAAAACGAGCGATCTTACTATTATTCTCAGTTGGGAAAGTTTACCAACTGTCAGTGAAGCATAAACCTTTCACGTCAAAAAAATCCTCTCCTTTCTACAAGTTTTCAAACAATTTTTCTTGGTATAACCGATTCAACACCAAGCCTGACATAGCAGTTACAATATAAAATTACCGACCTTCGTAAATACCCCTCTGGTAGCCTCCCAAAATGTTGCCTCACAACCCAATCGTTGATAGTACCTGCACTATGAGATGTCTAAACATGAACTTGGCCCGATTTCACTCTAGAAAGAAAATTATCTTCCTCATTCGAGAAAAGACAGCCCCGTTTTCAACTGTTAGAAAAAAACAACGCTTGCATGTGACGTCACGATCTTTCAAAATTTTGGAATAAAGTCAACAACCGTTAACGTTAAACTTACTTCTAACGATTAAACTTCCAACTGTTGATACATAGTTGACAAACATTTTTAACCAGCTTCAATTTTAGTTACTTTCCGGATAGTAACATTAACCCTTATACCATAACAATGTCTGATCTGTCAACAAAAACAAGTTTTACATATCAATTTTCCGATCAAAACAAAACAATGTACCCCTGACCCCTCCCCCCAACACTTGGTGGTATTTTTGTACACACAGTCACATCCACCAAAACACTGAAACTGTGTCACACCAAAACAACAAAAAACCTCAACTCAGCCTCTAATATATCCCATCACAGAAATCAAAACGACAAGCAGTATAAATCAGCTATTTTTACGATGTCGTTTCTGTGTGCCTCGCGGACCGTCCTGAATTTTATATTCTTGTTGCTGGCTGTCCAAAGTTTACGAGGCTGCCACCATGTGATTGTGTGCGTGTGTGTTGGTGTTTTGTGATGTCTGGGTCCTGTCTAGACAGACCGACATACATTACACACACACACACAGAAACACACACACTAATACTCTCCAAGCAGAGGTTGTGGGGAATGATCGTTTTTATATATGGCCTTTTTTTTGTCACTACCCCGTCGGTGGCTGGCGACCTTCTCTGGCTAATGGATGCTGCCTGGCTAATTTGATACTGTCTTCAGGCCACCGAGAGGGATCTGCTTGGAGATTACCACACACTTACAGTTACACATGCAGCTAGAGCTAGAGCTAGCTACAAACATCTCTGTATCTCAAAAACTAAACGTTACAGGCTGCTTCCTGGATCTAGGTCTAGATGGCGGTGGCACCATGGTTTCTGCAGAAAACTATGAGGTAGACAGTTTCGTGATAGAAGCTCCTTGCACACACACAGAGAGAGAAACACACACACACACACGCAACAACAGTTACACATGCAGCATAGCAAGCTATAAAGGTCGAACTGATCGTGATACAAACATCTCTGTATCTCAAAACTAAACGTTGCAGGCTGCTTACCGAATCTAGGTCTAGATGGCGGTGGCACCATGGTTTCTGCAGAATGAGGTAGACAGTTTCGGACTGTAAGGGGACGGAGCAGTCAGCCCATCATATTTTTGTGACCAGAACACCACACCTCCTCCGATAATACACAGGCCACTAACTCAACTTCTCTCTCTCGGTCTGTTCCTTTGCTTTTAGGCTTGACAGAGCCCGAGGGCGTTTCGGGAGGTAGCCGAGTTTCCGTGTCACGCATTCGATTTGGTTTTAGCTCGTTGAGTTGCTTGATAAATACCGCAAATTAATTGCTCAAATCATAAAATACGGTGTTGATTCAATATGAAAGACATTTTTTTCCGATTCCGCCGGTTTTAAAGGCAATTATATGTTTTAGGAATACGGTCCGACCTCCATGCACACCCTCAGTATTTACGGCCCGAAGCCAACATGTCACGCTGTTCGTGATTGGTGCAATTTTGTCACCCTATGTCCAATCAGCGTTCTCGAGACAGTTTCGTGCGAAGGGGATGCTGGGAGTTGAACAGCTGATTTTGGGGGAACTCCCACTGATGACATAGGGATGCAGAAAAGTGAAATATTAGGGATGGAGAAAAAGATACAGCCAGAGGACCTTGCAAGCTTTAGGGTGCAGAATGTGAGTAGCTGTCACAAGGAAATATCAGAAAATGATGATCAATTAATGAACTAGAAATGTAACATTTGCAAAGCAAATGCATAATGTTTACCTTCGCATATGTTTATTCTTACTCAGAAAACATTCATATCATACTCATACATATGGCCAGACAGGAGTCTAAATCCCTCCTGCTATAAAATTGCAACATGATGTAACCCAACACCAGTTACCATGGTGACAGACGTCTGGTTTAGGGCATTGCCCTTATTGGTTTGGAGATGATGAGAAAACAGGGCAAAAACAATATGTTTTCCTTCGGTAAACATAACTACAGATTATACAGAACAAGTTAATGAGACATTGATATCATAATGCAGCTCCATAATGATCTTATACTAATATTAAACTTATACTAATATAGTAATAGGCAAGTTTTTCTATGTGTGTTACTGCTATGTACTAATCTCCAAGCAGATTATACGGCAAGGCAGTATCCATTGGCCAGAGGAGTGTCCATTAATATATAAATAAATAAATAGTCACCTTTGGTGGATACTGTCTTAGACTACGGTAACGTTAGAGTAGAGTAGCCACGGTATGATCTGCTCTAGGAGATTATTACTAGTACTACTAAGTTTTTATATGTTTAGAGTTAAAACTTTTGGTCCAACACAAAAAAGTTCTCTCACCTAGAGCTTTGGACCAGTCACTCTGGTCTTCCTCAGTAGACTGACCCAGTGAGGCTTGTCACGTGGCTTCTTTGTATAAGTTTTTATATGGTTCAGATGAGCACTCTTACAGCTCTGACATTATAATGCTTTATCTGTGCCATTCTCCTGTCTATTTTCCCCATTCAATAGGATTGTACAGAGTTCTTTCTGATTAACTTGGCCCATTTTATCAAATGCCATTGAATTATTGAATGGTTGTTTTCCTGCTTGGTTCATTTCAGGTACCACCTGTGGCATACTACATTCCAGACTTTATAACAGAGGAAGAAGAAACCTACCTGCTGTCCAAGGTACGTGAGTAGTTAGCCTGGTTACCAAGTTAACCTAGTTTAGCTCCCGAGCAAATTGCGGAGAGGATGTAACATCTGTGTCCATCATCATCATCATCATCTGTCGACACCCTGGCTGGGGGACGGGGCAAGCTCCTGCACAACACAACGCCACACAGTACGATCTTCCATTGCAGCTGGAAGGTCTTGTTGTTGTAATCCTGTGTCCCTTGTGAGAGTAGCTGGATATGTGAGTTTTCTGGAGTGAGTCTTGCCATGTGGTTTCCACAGGAGGAGTGATGAGATGACTAATATCACCAGGGTCCATAATATCGCCACCTTGAGAAACAGTGTGCTTAAAGATATTTTTACTGCAACATACCCTAGGTATGTACATTTGATGTGTGAAGGAGTGCATACCAAAAGTATGTTGCAGTAAAAATATCTTTAAGCACACTGTTTCTCAAGGTGGCAATATTATGGACCCTGGTGATATTATGGGCACGGATGTTAGGACTCGGGAGCTAAGCTAAAATAGATTTGGTAACCAGGTTACAAGGTAGTACCATGTGTCTCACGGGCACAGGTCCTCTGCCGTTGTCTGTTTTGGTAGCATTTAATAGAGAGTGTGGATTCAATTTGATGATATGTAGCTGGCTTATATTGGTTGATATTGTGAATATTGTTAAGCTCATTTTACGCACTTATTTAGTTGCCTATATCAAGTATATGTTAACTGTGAAATACTCACTTGTTTAGTTGTCTATTTTCTAACTGTGCAATATTTGTTTCTCTGTTTTTAATTAACTAGCATACAATTCAGTGCTACTTTTTTAGTTGAGCTGCCACATGCTAGAGATTGTACCCATCGATCAATCAATCAATAAACAATTATTATTATTATTGATGACTAAATACACAAAAGAACTGTTTGAAACTTTCTGTTGAGTTGAACATTTACCGGGTACAATGCCAGTTTTTTTCTTACTGTCTAATATTTTGATCGGAGTAAAAATTTGAAATTGCAAACTTTGCATAATTGTCATTACATATTTATGTGATGATATCCAACAGGTGTATGCAGCTCCCAAGCCCAAGTGGACACAACTATCCAACCGGCGCTTACAGAACTGGGGTAAGAAAGTAGGCAACCAAAAAAAAAAATTGATGTACCTTTAATTTTATTTGTTCTAAAGTTAGTTGTTCAGTCATCCACTGCAATTGTGGTATTTTTATATCGCGAAAAGGACTTTTCTTGTATTAAATATCATTAGATTATTATCTTTATAATGAAACATAACAATACTAGTATGATAAAAGACTGTTATTATTAAATGCTGCTTTATGCTTTGAAAACTATTTAAAGAAATTTTTAAAACCTATACTATCGTATATCTATACATATATGTATTACTGTTATAATAGTATCATTTATTTTTGTATCATCAGAAAGGAGAGAAAACCATTTGACATTTGTTCTCTACCTTACTTGCAGGTGGGCTACCTCATCCAAAGGTTTGTCATCTCTACTGTGTTGAATGGCTTTATTATTATATGTTGTTTATAGTTAAAGCTTTTGGTCCAACACAAAAAGTTATCTCACCTAGAGCTTTCGACCAGTCACTCTGGTCTTCCTCAGTAGACTGACCCAGTGAGGCTTGTCATGTGGATTCTCAACACTGGGTCAAAGGTATCTGGTAGACGATGTCGGCCCCCGTCGCGGTTAAGTGAAGCTCTAGGTGAGAGAACTTTTTATGTTAGACCAAAAGTTTTAACTTTAAACATGTAACTACCAACACAGATGAACTTTTGTAAAAACTATTATATTAATATGTTCTTGGGTATGTGACATGTTATTCTGATGCATGATCAAGAGATTTTGAAAGAGAAAGTGTGACACTCTAGCAAGCCAGCAGATAACCAGGGACACATTTTTGCCCTGTCTAATAATGAGGCCAGGACAGAATGTGGTTCACATCAGAGCACGTATGTGTTTTACATGTAAGTGTTGTAGAGGATCATAGTTCAAGTGGCTGATGCCAGCTCGGACAAGATGTCCTGTTATAATATTGGTCCTAATGAGCGCACATCTGTATCTGTAGCCGGTATAACCGCCCTTTGGCGTAACACACCAGCTTCGCAGGCACACGGCGTGGCGGCAGCTAGCTATATCACACCGAACGGCTTGTCACACTCAATCTGTGCACATTTGATTGCAGGAGTTGTTTAAAGCTTTCTAATGATGATGCCCCAACTGTGCTTGGTGGCAACGAGTTCCAGTCTATGATAGTTCTGGGGAAATACGAGTTTTTGAATACCTCAGTTCTTGGTTGATAACTCTGATGTTTGAAGGCCTGTCAGTCAGAGAAACCTGCCGCCCACAACATCTTAATTTTATGGAAGACATCCTCTGAAGACCCCCAAACTTGTGTGCGCGGGCGAATACTAAACCACAGGAATGCAAAGCTGGTATTGTGAATTTGTGGCAGTATACATAGCGATGTATATACACAGCAAGCCGGCACATGCTGGCTTTTTGCAGAATTTATCAATTGGCACTGTATGTATGTTACTGAGCTCTTGAGGCATGGAGCTTCGGAAGCCTGGGTGCCGTCCTTCAAAGTTACCACCGGCCCCGTACATTTTTTTTCATTGTACAAGAAAAAAACATGTATCATACAAAATGTATTCATAATTAAAATAAAGGTTATTTATTGATGATTGATGGCTATGAGCCATTTGCTGATGTGATAGGTAACTACAACTGAGATGGGCCCAACATTAAAAAGAAAAGATACTAACAAGTAACATGCCCGTAGCCAGGATTTTGAATGGGGGGGGTTCTTCCCACTGCTAGAGGGGACCTCGAGCGCTGTAGGCGCAAGGCGAGCGCCGAAGACTCGAGGTTCCCAGGGGGGTACGGGGGCATGCTCCCCCGGAAAATTTGGAACCTTCTGAAATGAACCTTTTAAAATGAACCTTCTGAAATGGCATTTCGTGCGGTTTTGAGAGGATTTTCATGAAAAAATCAGAGATA